TATTGCGAGAAATAAAATTCACATCAATGGCATCACTATGTTGCTGAATCAAAGTAGACAAAGGCTTATCATTAAGATCAATAGGAGCACTTCTACTAGCAACCAATTTCAACTTTTTCACTCAAAGAAAAAATTTCTTCAACCGAATTAATTTTTTTACTAGTAGGAGCCCTTTCGGTATGCCATTGCGAATAATTTGCCATGATATTGTCAAGCAATTTGGTGACTTCAACCAAAGTAATTTCCGTAAAAGTACCATCCGCGGCAGAATATAAAAGATTACGAGAGACAAAATTCAATCCCACATAAATTTTTTGTATGATCATCCAAAGATTTAACCCATGAGTTGGGCAATTCCTTAGCATCATTTTAATCCTTTCCCAAGATTGTACAACATGCTCATGTTCAAGTTGCTTGAAATTCATGACCTGGGTTCTAAGGGAAATAATTTTTACCGGAAAAAAATACTTAGTGATAAAAGCATCTTTGCATTATTCCAAGAATCGATACTATGGCGAGGCAAAGAAGAGAACCAAATTTTATAGAATCATGCAAAGAGAACGAAAATAATTTCATCTTGACCACATCATTGTCCACATCTTTTTTCTTTTGCATATCACATAATTCTACGAAGGTATTAAGATGGGAAACGACATCCTCATTAGGAGTACCGGAAAATTGGTCTTTCATAACAAGATTCACCAAAGGAGTATTAATATCACAAGTCTCCGCACTAGTGGCGGGAGGAGCAAGCGGAGTGCCAATAAAATCATTGTTGTTGGTATTTGATAAATCAAATAACTTGGTGTTCTCTTGAGTCATGGTGACCACACAACAAGATTGCACTCAATATAGATCAGGCAAGAAAACGGCAAATGGAAAAAGAGAGGCGAATAAAATGGCAAATTTTTGTGAAGTGGGGGAGAGGAAAACGAGAGGCAAATGGAAAATAATGTAAATTGCGAGGAGATGAGATTGTGATTAGGAACCTGGTATATGTTGAAGATCCTGCCCAGCAACGGCGCCAGAAATTCCTTTTGATGTCGCTTGAAGCTACGTCAGTATTTCCCCAAAGAGGAAGGGATGATGCAGCACAACGGCAGTAGGTATTTCCCTCAGATATGAAACCAAGGTTATCGAACCAGTAGGAGAACCAAGCAACACAACGTAAACAGCGCTTGCACACAAATAACAACCACTCGCAAGCCGACATGTTAAAGGGGTCGTCAATCCCTTTCGGGTAACGGCGCTAGAAACGGTGCGTGGACGGGAGATAAATTTGTGATAGATTGAAATAATAGATCACAAATAAAATAAAGTGCAGCAAAGTATTTTTTATTTTTGGTTTAATAGATCTTAAAATAAATGCAAGAGAAAAGGCAAATATATGAGAAAGAAGACCTGGGGCCGTAGGTTTCACTAGTGGCTTCTCTCGAGAAAAATAGGAAACAGTGGGTAAACAAATTACTATTGGGCAATTGATAGAACCTCAAATAATCATGATGATATCCAGGCAATGATCATTACATAGGCATCACGACCAAGATTAGTAGACCGACTCCTGCCTGCATCTACTACTATTACTCCACACATCGACCGCTATCCAGCATGCATCTTCTGTATTAAGTTCATGGAAAAATGGAGTAATGCAATAAGAACGATGACATGATGTAGACGAGATCCATTTATCTATGGCGGTAGATATAGATCCCATCTTTTTTATCCTTAGTAGCAATGATGCATACATGTCGTTCCCTTTCTGTCACTAGAATCAAGCACCGTAAGATCGAACCCACTACCGGGCACCTCTTCCCATTGCAAGATAAATAGATCAAGTTGGTCAAACAAAACCCAAATATTGGAGAAGAAATACGAGGCTATAAGAGATCATGCATAAAAGAGGCAAAAAACTCAAATACTTTCATGGATATAAAAAGATATATCTGATCATAAACTCAAAGTTCATCGATTCCAACAAACACACCGCAAAAGAGTTACATCATATGGATCTCCAAGAGACCATTGTATTGAGAATCACGAGAGAGAGAGAGAGAGAGAGAGAGAGATGAAGCCATCTAGCTACTAACTACGGACTCGAAGGTCTACAAAGAACTACTCACGCATCATCGGTGAGGCACCAATGGAAGTGATGAACCACTCCGTGATGGTGTCTAGATTGGATCTCGTGGTTCTAGACTCTGCAGCGGCTAGATGAATATTTCTCGACTCCCCTAGGGTTTCTGGAATATTCGGGTATTTATAGAGCAAAGAGGCGGTCCGGGGGGCACCCAAGGTGGGCACAACCCACCAAGGCGCGCCTGGGCCTCCTGGCGCGCCCTGGTGGGTTGTCCCCTCCTTGGGACGCCCCCAAGTGCAACCAGGGCCCAACATCTTCCTTCTGGTCCATAAAAAATCTCCGTAAAGTTTCGTGGCATTTGGACTCCATTTGATATTGATTTTCTGCGATGTAAAAAACATGGATAAAACAACAACTGGCACTTGGCACTATGTCAATAGGTTAGTACCAAAAAATGATATAAAATGACTACAAAATGATTATAAAACATCCAAGATTGATAATAAAATAGCATGAAACAATAAAAAATTATAGATACGTTGGAGACATATCATATGGACTTTTAGTTCATCTGTACCTTCAAGCAAGAAAACTTGAGAAAGAAAGAAAGGTACTATTAGTGATCGATCACTCATCCCTTATAGGATAACCTCATGGTGCTCATCTTTGGCTTCACTTGGCAAAGTATTATGGCACGGGTGAACACACTGAAACATGGGTGCATCTGGAGAGTGGGTGATGGACATAAAATCAATAGGTGGGATGACCCATGGATTCCTGGCAACCAGATCATATTAGAAGTAAATGACTTGATTAATCCTAGTACTAAGCCATGGGATGAGTAAGTGGAGAGGCAAACCTTGTGGCAGGTGTATGTTCACCGAATCTTAGCAATACCACTTCCAAATTATGATATGGTTGACTTTGTTGCATGGGGTATGACAAAAAATTTAGGCTTTCTATAAAATTATCATATTATGTTGACTGGGATCACATATTTGGGTGCAACCTATGTCAACCAAATAGACAAGAAACAATGTAGGTCAGAAGTGTGTGGCAATTAATTTGGTGTTTGGACTGTTCGACAAAGGTAAAAAGATTTGTATGGAAAACTCTTCATGGAACTTTACCTTGTGGCGTTAATGTTTCAAACAGGCATACTAAGGTATCACCACAATGCTCTGCTTGCATAACAGGGGCTGATACTACTTTTACTAGCATTGTTTCAGTGTTCAACAACTATTTCAAATTTGGAATGAACTTTGGTTGGATAACATTATTAGTAATGCATGTCTAACTGATAGAGCAAGAGAATGTGTGCTGGAGGAGACATTTGTGCTAGGGCAATGGAATGTGCATGAAATAATAGTTATCACTTGTTGGTATCTATGGTGGGAGAGAAAGAAGCTCCGCCGTGGCAAAATAATTCAAAAATGCAGGGAACTGGAAAATTGACTTCTGTTACCATGTGCTATCTGCTGAAGCTACTGCGTTGAGAACTTGAGATATGGTCTTTTCCTAGCACAAACAATCGGTTGCAACATGGTTATTGTCAATTCAAATAATATTGAGTTTATCAGTATGATGAATGAAAGAGGGTGATCTGCAGGTTCAGCGGCAACAATCTTTGATGATTGCTAACATATCGTGTGCAACTTCCCTTATATCTCATTTGCGCACTGTCTTAGGGTGGTTAATTATGTTGCTCATGAATTAGTAAATTTGGCCCAGGGTCCGTCTTGTAATAGTTTTTTTGTTGACCATCCTAGTGAGCTCGACCGTACCTCTCTTATTAATTAAGTGATATAACCTTGGTTGAATCATAAATAAAGAGAGCGATATGATTTAAAGAAAACGACAGTTCCTCCTACTGATTCAGTCATTAGGGAATGTTGCTTCATCTATGACATGTTTTCTTGTTCTTGCCTCGAGGTGTGGCGAAGACTTTGAAGTTTTTATCACTTATGCCACTAGTTGTATCCCACTACTTAGTTTTGCCATTAGAAGTTTTCACTACTAAAAAATACCATCAATCCGTGAGATTCTTGCTCAAAAATACCATTAGATATCTAAAAAATGCCATCGTGCCATTAGATGTTTGTTCAAAAAATGCCATTAGACCCATATGTTATATGACAAAAATAAGTCTAGACCCATATGTCAGTTCTCACTATCTCACAATGATAAGTATGGCCCCACTTGTCAGGAGTAAGCAAGCGAATAATTTTACAGGAAAATAAAAACATTGTTGGGATCAAGTGGACCCCACACTTTATTGTAGTGAGATAGAGGGAGAGCTGGCATGTTGGTCCATAGGTATTTATGCCATTATAACATCAAAAAAGAGATTTGAGATCACAATAATGATGTCCAATGGCATTTTTGAGCATGTGTCTAACAAAGCGATGGCATTATTAAGTAGTTGAAAATCCTAGTAGCAAAACTGAGTAGTGGAACACAACTGATGGCATAAATGATAAAAACCCTTAAATTTTCAGCAAAAATATTTCTCATTTCTTTCTCGCAAAAAAGGTAGATAAATTTGCTTTGTTGTGATCCACTCGGTGATTTGCATAAGCCAAAGGGGAACGATTTTTATTTTGGTTTCACACAGGTGAATTGATTTTAATTTGGTTTTGAGGGGGAGCAGAAAAGGTAGACAAATCCACGGCCGATGTATTTTTTAGTAGATATTTTCCTGGGGATTCTTTTTTGAGACAATGATAGAGTCCACAACACAGCGTGGGCTTCAAAAGTCCATCCAGCCCAAGAGACCACAGCGTCAGTTTCATCCCGCATCCCGCATCCCGCCGCGTCAGTTACCCCCGCACCGCAGTCTACTGCTGGCACCCCACTTCAGTTTCAGTTTGAACACCCCCGCACCGCATCGCTCGATCCCGCATCGGCGACGAGAGGAAGAGAGATGCCGGCCAGCAGCCACCGGCCATCGCCGGCGTCTCCCCTGGAGGACGACAACCTGCTACCCCAGATCCTCCTCCGCCTTCCTCCGGATCCCTCCTCGCTCCCGCGCGCATCCCTCGCTTGCACGCGCTGGCGCGACCACGTCGCCAACCCGGGATTCCGCCGCCGCTTCCGCCTCCACCACCGCCGCAACCCTCCCCTCCTCGGCTTCTTCGACGGATGCGGAAGCCTGGACTTCCACCCGACGCTGGAGGCCCCCGAGCGCTTCTCCCTGAAGCGCGACGAGGGCGACGGCGTTCGCAGGCCGCTCGGATGCCGCCACGGACTGGTACTCCTCTTAGTCCCGAAGCCTCTCCAGGTAATTGTGTGGGACCCCGTCACCGGCGACCAGCACCGCCTCGATGTTCCCCAAGGGCTCACGATGAATGAGTGCTATGAGAGCGTGATCAACGGGGCGGTGCTCCGCGCTGCTGCCGGAGACGCCGAGCACTTCAAGGTGGTCATGGTGGCCGCAGACGGCGACGGAGTAGAAAACCGACGAGCAGTCGCCTGCGTCTACTCGTCGGAGACCGGCGCATGGGGAGGGTTCGTTACAGCACCCATTCCATACGATGCTGATGCTCATGCGAGCGGTTTATTTTGGAGGTTTTCCACCAGCATTTACATTGATCATGCTATGTTGGCTGGAGACTCCCTTTACTGGCAGCTTATTGGGAATTTTGAAGGAATTCTCCAGTTTGATTTGGAGAGGCAGAGCCTGTCTGTAATGTCGGTGCCGGTGCCAATCTATAGCAAGGGCAACTGCTTCAAGCTTATGCGGGCCGAGGGTGGTGGTGGGATAGGATTCCTCTTGATGTCGAATTCGGACTACATTGCCCAGTTATGGAGGAGGAAGACCGATTCCGATGGTGTTGCTTGATGGGTGATTGCAAGATCTATCGAACTTGACAAGGTACTTTCGCTCAATTCACAGAAGGGGGAGAGCATGAGGATAGTAGGGTTTGCAGAGGACAACAACGTGGTACTCCTGGATATGCTGAGTGGATTCTTTATGATCCAACTCGACTCGCTGCGGTTCAAGAAGCTCCCCCGAACCAAGGCGGTGTCCTCCCTTCATGATTTCTCCCTTCATGCATTTGAAAGCGTCTACATTGCTGGTACGTCATATATATCTTGCTTCACACCATATGTATATAAGTATAAAAGAAGAAAGTTAGTTTTACTCCCTCCGTTCGGAATAATTGTCGCAGAAATAGATGTATCTAGATGTATTTTAGTTGTAGATACATCCATATCCGAGACAAGTAATTCCGAACGGAGGGAGTAGATAATTGGTTGATGGAAATACTGTTGAAGTGGTCTCGTTTTTTTCTGAAAAGGAGGATGACCCCCGGCCTTTGCATCTGGGCGATGCATACGGCCACTTTATTAATTGTTCTCACAAGACTTTACAAAGTCATACAACAGTAATACTAAAGCCGCCGTCTAAGCAACAAACTGTCGCTACACCTATCCAGTTGAAGAAGGGGCGCGGATAGTCTGGGCCTAATACCAAACAGACATCGCAACCAAGCCTAACATTTAAGACCTGAGACCCCAACCTAGCCATTTGTCGGGTCTGAGGCACACACTGGTTCGACGTGCTCTCAGAGGCCGCCGACGTCAACTACCACCGCTCCATCTTCAGAACTGTACTGTTGAAGTGGTCTTGTAACAGTACTTCTTTCTCATTTAGTAAAAAAAACAGTACTTCTTTCTTTTGCTGCTTGATGGCATCTTCAACATATTGTGATGATGTGCTCCGCGGTTCTCCAGTTTCGATTCTTGCATATGGTGGCCTTCTATATATAATAATAATTATGACATGGGAAGTAGTATGTACTCCCTCCATATTCGAAAGGAAGCGCGGGAAAACCCCCCGCCTGTTTTGTGGGGAAAGAAGGGCGCATGAGGGTTATTAATGTTGTATGGACGAAACTGGCTCGCATTGAATCCCCACTTACACCGTTCGCCATGTTGAAACCGGCTCGCATTTAATCCCTCCGTATAAACCCATCGTCCCTTTGTCTTCCTCCTACACACGTGTCACACAATCTGCCCGTGAGAAACAGAGGCCCACTTTCCCTTCTTAATCGCCGCGCTCAGTTTTAAATGTGAAAAGAAATCGATACAACAATTTCGTTGCCAGGTGGTGGGCTCATTATTTCTGTGATTTTCGTGGTTCAAGTCAGACCTAGCAAATTGTATTTATCACTTTACTATATGAAATATCCATGCAATAAAACAAGTCAAAGTTCTAAGTTCTGCTAGCTCGGCCCTTGTACAGTTTCGCTTTAGTTTTCTCTTCTTCTCTTCGGTTTTGTTTCCTTTTTGCATTTTCTTTTTGTTTTTCTGAGTTTCAGCCTTTTGCATTTTTGCGTCATCTTGACGTTTCATTCTAATGCACAACGACACACATTTGGGTGAGTGTTCGAGAAAAAAAACAATAGATACCTTTTCTTTTCTTTTTTTGCGAAGAAAAACAATGGATCGGATACCTACTTTTCCCTACTAGTCAAGTCAGGATATTTGCCTGCGACAGCTGCTGAATTGTTTTGTTCTGAAACCAGTGAAAAATAGCACGTTTACTAGTTATGGCTAGCTTGTTTTTAGACGAGAGTCCAGCAATTTAAGGATTTTGATTTCTAGTAGATCTCCCATGTTGTTGCGCGGACAGGGCTTGTAGATCAAGTTGGCAGGGTGTGTGTTACGCTATATCATGGCCTCATGGGCAGGCTTTGGCCATGGAAGGAGTTGAATTTGGAGTTCAGTAGAAAGCCAGAAAATGCGACAATTGTTGGGTGGCACCAAATCCTTTGCTTATTACTTTCCTGAGTGGTGAACAGTGAGTTGCTAGTTTCAAGATTGATCTAATCAATCTGGGTGCCAGCTTCAGTTTCTTGCTTCTTGCTTGATCCAAAGTGTCTGCTGCCACTATAGTTCATCGTTGCTTCGTTGAGTAGTGCAAATGATTGGGCGTCAACACTTTTGCATTAGCTTGTCTCACTAGTTCGTGCCTCATCACAAGAATTGTATAAAATAGCTGCAGTTTTTCCTCAAGATAAGATAATACAGTTGGAAATTGAAGACAACTACACGAAAACTAGCTTGTACCAACTGAAATATCAAACATGTAGGATTTATTAGGTTGATTGTAATATTTTTTCCAAATATGGCATGGAATGATCTGAAAAATTATGGATACCCTTGTCTCTTCTAACCAGCTTATAGTTTGACTGTGCATCTTCATTTTGACAGTAGTAATCAGTTTATACTATTTTTGGAATGTTCATTAACTTCGAAAGTAGATATGCTTTATTTATGTATCCCTAATGGTGTATCAATATTGATTCCTTTTTTGAACTATAATTAGTTATCTAAATATCTTTTTAATGCTTCCTCGTATCTATTTGGATTTGCATTGGAATGTCATTGGTTGTTATCCTTCTTATGCTTGCAGAAACAAGCATTGGTGGTACACATGATGGAGCTGATCTTCTGCACAATACATAAGATGATTGTCCGGTCAGATATGCTATGTGATGTACCAGTTGAACATGTAAGCTTATCTTCTGCATGTATGTTGAGTTATCTGAACTATTCTTAAAAAATAAATCGCTTTGATTTTTACCGTCATTCACAAGTACTCCCTCTATAAACTTTTATAAGATCGTTTAGATCACTCTTTTATAAGATCGTTTAGATCACTACTCAATTGATCTAAACGATCTTATAAAAGTTTACAGAGGGAGAGTGATCTAATATAGAGGGAGTACCAAATTGCAAGTGAGGACTCTTTTAAGATTTTCTCTACAACTCTTTGCTTAGCTCTTCCCACCTGGCGACCTTCTATCATGCTTTGCCAGGCTAAATATTTAATCTTTTCTCCAAGCTCCGCTTTCTCATTCCTTCCTCATCAACCCTTCATTCTCTTCCTGATGCCTTTTAATTATTGATCTTCCAAGTTCCTACTGGTACTGGGTGGGCTCTTCCCCCTCTAGCCCCTCCAGTGATTAGTGAATGGTGACTTGGGACCGTTACGCATTCCCTATGTGTGGAGATGACCGTGCCTGCTCAGATATGAGAATGCTTTCGTGCTAGGTAGTAGCAAATGCAATACAAACCCTCTGTTGTGCTTCTAGGATATATTGCTGGTTTACTTCTACTCATTGCTGTATTGCCTTTGACTTCTGTTTTCTGTGGTGAAAGTATTGCTTGATGACGTAGAAAGTAAAAAATAACAAACATTTTGGACCGAAGGAAGATCTCAGTTATATGTACTCTAAGAAATTGACAAAATCAATTTGTTACCGACTAGCTAGTTGTACATTCCTAAAAAGTATGCCTTAGAGCTAGAAACCTGCTATCCTACTCCAGGAGCCTCTACACACCAAATGTACTGCTACTACACTACATATTGCCTTTTTTTGTTCTCTGTTTTAAGTGTTGATTTTGTCTAATAAGTGTGCTGGTTTGACCCTGGAGCTTATGACACAATTTCCGCAATTGTGAAGCCAATGTTTTCCGGTTGAGTCATAAAACAATTAGCAGAATAATCCTAACAACTTTTCCTGAATGAGCAGTACAAGTTTTTATGTTTACTGATGAGATATTACTTGCTACACAGGTATCTGCAATTACATTCTGGTGGCTGAGATGCAAAAATGGGTATCAAGTGTAGTTTCTTCCATTTGTATGCTGGACGGAGATCGAACCTCTATGTAGCAGCATGCACTGTTCAGCTCTGAACTCTGAAGTGAACTTTCTTGCATATGATTGTCTTCCATGTTGTATCAGCATGGTGGGATTTGGACATCAGATTTTGTGCCTGTGTGCGTTTGTTAAATTTCTACCTAGTTCCGAGCTTAGTGTTTGGAATCTTAATTCGCTTAGTTGTGACTGATGAATGTTCGAATTAATGAAACTGCCTATTGCTTTCTTTGCGATGTTGCATTTCTACCGAGATTGGTATCACTTGCTTGTTGCATTTCTACCTAGATTGATTATCTTTCGTCTTGCAGACTTTATACTAGGAGTAGTATTTAGCAAAGCTGTGAGTAGCCGCCTGCGAATTCGTACCTACAGACAGCCTATAGGACATTAGCTCAAGTGCCGCCGTTGCGTTTCTCATTGTTCCAAGGCTATCTGTTTTCTACTGACAATAGCTCAAATATATGACTTTAATGCAACTCACCGCATTATCCAGAGCTCTGCTGTCTCCGCGCTGGAGAAGGCCACTGATGCCTACCTCGTCCGCCTCTTTGAGGACACAAACCTCTGTGCCATCCATGCCAAGCGCGTCACCATCATGCCCAAGGGCAACCTGCTTGCCCGCCGCATCTCTGGCGAGAGAGCCTAGGTTGCTTCCCGCCTCGATGGTGTCTGATCTGGAGGTGTAGACTAGAAGTGTGTTAGTTTCTTCTTATTAGCCTGTGGTGGTAAAGTCCTAGTTTGTCGTGGCCATCTTGTTATGATCATCAATTGGAAGAGATTGAATTGGACTGAATCATATGTACGCCATTCATGTTCATCAGATCCTAATCAATTGCTAAATAAGTCTTTGCTGATACTCCTTAAGCCCAGTCCCTCTGTCAACTTAATTCACTACATGTCTTGTCCTCTACCAAATTCTGTTAATTCACTACATGTCGTGTCCTCTACCAAATTCTACTCTAACCCCACTAACAAATTTCAAATGCTTGGCACATATTCTGTTGGAAAAAATTGTTTTGAAATGACAGAACGCACTGAGAACTCCATTGTCCTCTGTAACACTATGCTCCCTACTTTTAAAGAGCCCACATTCAATTGAGGTTAACAATTGAGATTGAGTCACCTGATTTTGACAAGGTCAACAATTTTTCAAAGCTATCTCATTTA